ACAAGGAGGAGGGAGACGCCCAGAAATGCCGGGGGCGAAGGACAAATATCGCGGGGAAAGACCAACGCCGGATACAGGAGGAGCGCGCGCAAGCGAGAGACGAATAGGGAAACAAGGCGTGGGAAGCCAGGGGCCAGAGAACGGGAGGCCGCCCCAAGTAAACTGCCGAGGCAGGGGGTGCGCCGATGAGGGGATAGGAAAAAAGCGGGGGGGAGCAGGAGGAGATGGGGAGAGGCACCTACGGAGAAGGCGTGAAAGGGAGGAACGAAGAGGAACAGACGAAACGGCCGTAAAGCAGGCCACGACGCAACGAAAGGGGAGGCAGGAGGCCAACGGAAAGAGCGAAGAAGAGAAGGGCTCAGCCGAAAGGGAGGCATGGGAGACTGCAGAAGAAAAAAAAATAAGGGAAAACAGAAGGGAATAACAAATAGAGGAGGCGGAAGACAAAGAGGTCAGAATAAAAGAAACAGTGTAACGTCAGGATGAGGCCTAGACAAAGGGCATGGTAAAACCGAAAGCAGGGACAAGAGGAAGAGGGCAACGAAGGGGAAAGGGGAAACGGGAAAACCCCAGGACAATAAGGGTGAGGCAGAAGCAGCAAAGGTATGAGAAAGTACGGAAGCACAAAGGATAACAATAAACCTAAACTCAAATAAGGAGAGGGGAGGAGTGGATAAAGGATAAAAAGCGCAATCAAACCCGAATGGGCAGAAGGAAAACGGAAGAGGAGGGCGACGGAGGGGAGCAAGGCAGAAACAAGAGAAATAGTAGGAAAAATACACCAAAGAGGCAGGGATCAGACGGAACCAAAGAGGGGCCAAGAAACAGGAAGCAGAATGGCAATAGACGAGAAAGTGAAGGAGGCGAATAAAGGGATCAAGAAGGTACAAGAGGCAGGGTCCGGAAATAAAAAGTCAGGGGAAAGCAGGGCCACAGAAACAGAAGGGAAACAAGGCAGGAGGCATAAAGAACCAGAAGAAGATATGGGAGCAGGAAATAGAGGATAGGGAAGAAGGAACCGTAGAGCACCAGGAATGAGGGGGGAAGAACAATCCAAAGGAGGAAGAGACCTGCGGGAAGGCAGGGGGCGGAAGGAAAGATAAATGGCGGGCAAGGGCACAAAGGAGAGCAAGCAAACAGAACGAGAACGAAGGACCAAAAAAGATAGGAGAAAAAACTGAAGGACGAAACCGTAAGGAGGCAAACGTCAGCACCAGAGGGCGGAAGTCGCCCAGCGGCACCGGCAGGGAACCGCAAGGCAAGGCACGGAACAAAGAAAGCACCAAAGAGGGAAGCGGGCCAAACAGAAGAGAGGACCAAGCAATACAGAAGGGTAGGTAAAATGGGAAGAAACGAGGGAGCCGCGAACTGGACCAAGAGGAATGATACAAGGCCCAAAGGAATTAAAGAAAGGGCCAATAAGGAGGGAAGGAAGGGGAACTTGAAGGGCCAGCGCCAGAAGTACCCACAGAAGAAGGAAGCAAGACCCGAGAAGGCGGTGAAGGGAGACCGGAAAGGAGGGGAAGGAGCAAGTACCAGGCGGAAAGGCAAGAGACCATACGAGAGCGGAGAGAGTAGGAAAAGGAATGGAAGAGGGGAGGAAGGCGCGGAAAACGAGGGTATAGAGGAAAAAAGAGAGAGAGAAGCAACTGAATACAAGAGTGGGCGAAGTGGAAGGGCCAAAAGAACAAGGAGAAGCCTGTAAATGCGGAAGGGCGCATGAAGAGATCCCAAGATGAAGAAGGAGAGCACGGAAGCACGCAAAGGAGAGGCAGAATACGCAAGGGGCATGGATCGGAACGAGAGCCAAACGGAAGAGGGGAGCAACCGAGGTAAGCCAGGGAACAAAAGAGGGCTGGAGGCGGAACAAGTAAGCTCAAGATGGAAACAGGGATGCAGAAGAAGCAAGAGGAGACCAGAAGGACAGGGGAGAAGGCAAAAGAGAGGACGATGAAGGAGCAGGAAAAGAGGCAGGCAAAGGGGGGGAGCAGACGGGAAGGACGCAGAGCCCCAAAGAGCTGGGGGCAAAAGAGGGGGGAAAAGCTCGAGGGAAAAGAGAGGACGAAAAGAGGGCGCAAATAGGAGAGGAGAAACCAAAACAAGCGGGCGTGAAGAGACCAGGAGGGCAAAGAGACGAGGTCCGGAAGCGAGCCGATTAAAGGGAAGGAAGGAAGAGAGACGAGAGGGAAGAAGAGGGAAGGCAACGGAAGGCAGGCGGGAGGAAGGGATAATGAGAAAGAAAAGTAAGGGAGAAGAGACAGAGCAGGCCTGGGGAGACAGAGGAATGAGAGACGAACCGAGAAAGCCGAAAGAAAAGGGCAAGACGGCAGGCCAAGGGAAGAGGCAGGGGCAAGAGGAAAGGAAAGTCATCATAGCAAAAGTGCAAGACGGAAGAGGGTGCGCACAAAAGGAAGAGAGGGGGGGGGAAAGGGGACGGGGGGAGGACAGAGGAGCGGGTCAGAGAACGGGCGCAACCGACGGAAAACAAAGCAACCAGAACGCCGCCACGAGGCCGAACGCAGAAGCGGCAAAGGGAAGGCCAACCCGCGGGACCAGCCGAGGACACAGAGGCCGGGAGGAAGAAGAAGGGAAGGACCAAGGGAAGGCGAAAAGGAGAGCAAAACGTAAAGGGCAGGAAGGAGCAAAAAAGTGAGGCCAAGGACGAGAGAGGTGACCCAGGAAAGGGGCCCCAAAAGAAGAGAGGAAGATAAGAGGAAGGAAGGGGGAAGGAACAGAAGAGGAAGAAGGAGGAAACGAAAGGAGCGACCAGGGAACAAAGGGAAGAGAGATGAGAGGAAAGGATCAGCAACGAGGGAGAGGTGAAAGAAATGAAGAAATGGGAAGGACAGGGGAAGATGGAAAGGGAACCGGAGGACGGAGGGCGGACCAGCGTCGGCCCCATGGCAGGGCCCGGGAACCACGGCGAAGAAGCCACGAAGGCAGCGCGACGCGCCGCGGGGCAACACCAACGGTCCGCAACCGTCAGCACACGGAAGGGCGCGCCGCCGACAAAGCCAAGGCGGGCCGGCGGGCAGCGGCAGCGCGACGCCACCACCGCAACGACGCCGGACGGAGAGGCAGAACTGGCGAAGGAGGAGAGGAAGCCGGTGATGAGGCCAGCGGGGTGGGCAGACCGTGAAGGCCGGAAAGCGTCAGCGGAGCACAGAGAGGCCGGACGAGAAGGGAGGGGGAGAGCCGGGCGGGAAGACGGGACAACCGGGGCGGCCAGCGCAGCCGCGGGCAGCGGGGGGGGCGCCAGCACCAGCCGTGAAACCAAGGGCGGGAGAACAGAAAGTAGGAGAAGTAACCGGACGCCCGCGCAGGAGGAGGGGAGGAAGGAGAGCGCGAAGGAAGGGCCGGAGCGAAGAGCGAAAAGGAGAAGTAGAGAAGGGAAAGTAAGGAGGGGAGAAGAGAAGAAAGGACAAAAGAAAGGAAGAGAGGGCGTAAAAGAGAAGAGATTGGAGAGAGGAAGCGCGGGAAAGAGAAAACAAAGCCGAATGAGAGAGGACGCGACGGATGGAGAAAGAGAAAGAAGGAGGGAAGGGAGGGGGCAGGAAGGACAAACAGGGAAAAAGAGGGATGACCAAGGAAAATGTAGAGCAGCGAGGCGCGCAGGGGCGGGAAGCGCCGCAACAAGCCGGGTAGGGGCGTGCCAAGAGGACGGGCGTTCATTAGAAGGGAATGACGGCAGAGCGACGGGGAGGGAAGGGGGGGCGCCACAGGGGGAGCCACAAGGGGAGGGGCGAACAAGCGCACCGGGGATGCAAAGCAGGGGGGGAAGGAACAACGGGAACACCGGACGAAGCTGAAGGGGATGCAAGCAGAGGCGGGAAACGGAAGATAGAGGAGAGGCCGGCGGGAGGCGCCAAGGGAGGAAGCGGCGGAAGACGAGAGCGCCGAGCGACAACAGCGCGAAGAAAAGGAGAGCGGACAGCAAGGGGGGGGGGGGGGCAGGAGAGGGAGCAGGCGGGGGGAGAGGGAGAGCACGGGGACGAGCAGAGAACACAAGAGGGGACCGGGGGAAACACCAAGGGCCAGAACCAAACCGCGGAGCCAAGGAGCGGCGGGGACACCCGCGGGGGCGGCAAGAGAGGCCGCCGCAGGCGGAGAGAACGCAGCAAGAGACGGAAGCGGAGCGGGCCAACGGAGAGCACAAGGACAAAGAGGGAAAAGAGAACGGGAAAGCGAGCGACGGCGGGCAAGAGCACCACCAGAAGCAGAAGCGACAAAGCCCACAAGGGCAGGAGAGGCAGAAGAAGGGCGAGCAAAAACCAAGCCCAAAGACGAAGGACCCGGGAGGGACCGGAGAAGCCAGGGAACGGCGGGCCAAGGGGCCGGACCAGGGGGAGGCAGGGAACGACGCACAACACGGACAGCAGGAGCCAAAGCAGGGCGAGGGCAGACCAGAGCAGACAGAAGACGGCCAACAGCACGAGAGGAAGGAACGGGGGACAGAGAAGCCACAGCAACAGCAGACGGAGGGCAGGAACCAGAGGAGACCGGAAAAGGGGCACCAAGGGGAGGAGACACAGGGGACAAGGGGACAGAGGGAAGCGAGCAAGCACCGGCGCAACAGACGGGGGCGGGGAGAGAGAAAGGGGACCCGCGGGACGAGCCCGGGGGAGCGCCAGGCCAAGAAGCGGCGGGGCGGCACCAAGGGCGGGCAGCGCAAACGCAGGGCGGAGGGGAGACGGCAAGGCAGCAACCAGAGACAGAGCAGGGGAAGCAAGGAGCAGAGCAGCAACAGAAAGAAGCAAAGAGACAAAAGACCCAGGAGAAAAGGCGGGAAAAGAGACACAGCGAGCAGACGGGCGGCGGGAGAAGCCGGGCCCCAACAGACACGCAGCAAACCGCGGAGACCAGGGCCGGGGAGCGGGCGGGAGCCCAGAAAGAGAGGGGGAGACGGCAGACACAAGGGGCCGGCCCAGGAACGGCAAAGCCCGCAGGGGGGACAGGGAAAGGGCGGCAGCAAGCGCGCCAGGGAGGAAAGCAGGCGGGACAGCAAGGGGCGCCAACGCCAAAGCAAAAAGAGCAACCAAAAGCAAGGAGAACACGGAGAGAAGGAGGACGAACAACGGGGAGAAAAGAGCGCGGGAAAGGCAAGACCGGCACGGGGAGCAAAACCGCGAACAACGAACCGGGCCGGCCACCGGGCGGGCGCAACCCCAGGAAGGCCGGCGGGCGGGGGGAAAGCCACGGACAGCGCAAGGGGCGGGACCGGGCGGCAACGCGACCAGCGCCCAAGGCGCAGGCGGAGGGAGACGGGCCAGCGCGGCGGGCAGAGCAACCAACCACGGGGACGAGGGGGCACAGGAAAGAGCCGCAGAAGAGCAGGAGGGAGCACCAGCAACCGCCGGGGCGACGGAAAGAGCAGAAGCAACCAAGGGGGGGCAGCAGCACGAGCAGACCGAGCAGGGGGGGAAGGGGCCGCCGAGGACGAGCCAGAGCAAGGGAAGACGCGCGGGGGGCGCGACGAGAGGGGCGGGGCGAGGAGAGGCAGCAGCGGGAGGAGGACCAGCAGGGGAGGAAGACGAGCAAGAGGCCGGAACGCAAACGCCACCGGCGCACCAGGACGCGGCGGCGCACCGGGACGGGGAAGCGGGGCCAGAAGAAAGGAGGGCAGGGGCAGCAAAAGGGAGAGCGCGACGCAGAAGGAGGGGCGGAGAAGCAGGAGACCAGAGACGAGACCCGGGGGACGCAGAGGCAGAACCAAGGAAAAGGCAGGGGACAGCGCGCGGGGGGAAGGGACCCGGACGGGAAGGAGCAGAAGCAGGACAGCCAAAAACGCGGAAGAGAGAGGAGGCAACAGGAGGACCGGACCAAACGGCCGCGGGAAGGGGAAAGCAAGGGAGGAAGGGGGAGAGCGAGGGACCAAAGAGCAAGCAGGAGAAACGGCCGCGGCCCAAAAAGCACGCCGGGGCCAGAACCCAGCAGGAGAGAGCAGACAACGAGCGCGGGCCAAGAGAGGCCGGGGCAAACGGGCGGCAACACCAGGCGGCGGGGGGGGACCAGGCAAGGGCGGGGGCCGGGCGAGGCCAGGGGCCGCACAGAAAGGCAGGGAAAGCGGACGCACAGAACGCCAAGCCAGGGGCGGGCCGGAGCGGCGGGACGGGGGACCGGGCGGAGGCGCAACAAGGAGGGGCCACGGCGGGAAAAGAGAAAAGGCCGGAGGGGAGGGGGCAAGGAAAGAGACCCAGACCGGACGAGAAAAGGCAGCAAGAAGAGACAGAAAAGAGCGACAGCCGCCCAGAGACGGGAAGGGAGGCGGGCCCCAGAAAGCGGAAGGGAGAGAGGCCAAGACAGCGGGGGACGGGGGGAGCAGGAGAGAAACGAACCCGCGGGGGGGCCCAAAAACACAAGGCGCACAAAAGGGGAAGGGACCCGGACCGGAACCACCAAGGAGGCCGGGCGGGCGCAGGAGAGGCAGGCCGGGCGCACGCAGAGGCCCCAGACGCAGAGGCCAGAAGGGAGGGAGAGCCGCAGCAGACAGCGAGGAGGAGACCGCGACGGAACCGGGCACAGGACGGCCAGGCAAGACGGACAAGCGGCCAGAACGAGAAGCGGGCAGGAGAACAAGAGAGCCGGGGAGGACCGGGCAGAACGCCACCGGCAGCGAGGGACGGGCACCCCAGAGAGGCCAAGGGGCCCAAGGAGAGCAGAGGGCGGGGCAAAGCAGGAAGAGACCGAACAGGGGGAAGAGGCCGGACAACGGGAGCAGGAGGGGGAAGCGGAACACGGCCAAGGCCACGAACCGGGCAGGGGGGAGCAGGACCCAGCAAGACAACGCCACCAGCAACCGGGGCCAGAGAGACGAACCAGGCGGGGGGAGGACACAGGGGGAAGGGACAACCAGAGGCCAGAAGCCACGCGGGGGCCGCCGGGGGCAACCGGAGCGAACAGAGAACAGAACAGCGCCGGCGGAAGCACGGGCAACAACACGAGCGGCAGCGGACGGCGGGGCGCGCGCGGGCGGGGGGGCAACGGGAAGCAGGCAGGCACAGCAGGACCAGGCGGCGGGCAGGACGGACAGGAGGGGGGGACGGACGGCCGGGGGACGGGGAGCGAGAAGGGGGAGGGCGACGCGCGGAGGCAAGGGAACGACCCCGGACAGGCAAGCCGGCACCGGGGGCCGCAGACGGAAGGGCAAAGGCAAACGGGGCGGGGGACAAGAGGGGGACGGAACAGGGGCGAAAGGAAGGGGAGCACGACGAGGACCAGACAGCAGAAGGGCGGGGAAAGGCGGGGAGGAGGGAGGGAGAGAGACAAGCAAGAAAACAGCACGAGCCGCAGCGGCAAGGACGACAGCAAGAGGGGCCAAGGCCAAGAAAAGAGAAGGGAAGGCAGCCAAGGGAGAGGGAAGAGAAGGACCGGCCGGCAGACGGAGGGGGACAGACGCGCCGGCAGGCGGAGCGGGGGCGCCAGAGGGGGGCCAGGGAAAGCGGAGCCAGCGGGGACCAGAAAGCGGACGCAGGCGGCGCACGGACGACCGCACGGAGAACCGCGGGAGACAGGCACAAAAGAAGGGGGGAACGGGCCGGGGCAGCCAAAGCGGCCCAAGCGGCAGCGGGCAGGGGAGCCGGGGGCGGCGGCGGCCCAGCGAGCGCGGGCGGCAAACCGGGCGGGGGGAGAACGGCGGCCAGCGGAACCGGCCAGAGAGAAAAGCGAAGGGGCCCGGCGAACGGCGCGAGAGCGAACGGGGGAACAGGCGACAGCGGGGAAAAGAACGCGCAAGGAAACCGCGCGGAGACCACGGGGGAGGAAGAGAGCGGAAGAAGGCGGAAGCGAAGAAGCGAAAAGGAGAAGGAGAGAAGGGAAAGAGAGAGAATTGTATAGAAGGGAAAAAAGAGGAAGAGGGAAAGAGAGAAAAGGAAGAAAGGCGAATACAATGAAGAAAGATAGATAGATAGGATAGAGAGAGAGAGAGATAGATGAGAGAGAGAGAGAGATGATAGAGAGTATGAGAGATAGATGGAAGAAGGCAAAGGAGCAGACAAAGAGAAGATAGATATATGGAGACGAGGTGGATACTTGCAGGAGGCAAGGAAGAGGTAAAAGAAAGGAATGCAAGAGAAAGGGAGGAAGAAGAGAGGAACGTACAAGCAAGACGGCCGAGGGAGACGCGAAAGAAGCAAGAAAGGCGGGAAAGGGGGGATCAAAAAGGAGACGTGCAGGACAGGGGAGCAAGAGGTGGACAGGGAACACGTGCAGGGGAGGGCGGTGTAGGGAGCCATAGTGTGAACAATGAGAGAGAGAGAGAGATAGTTATATAGATATGTGATATTAGAGATAGAGAGAGTAGTAGAGAGATTGAGAGATAGATGAGGGGGGGCCTGGTGAGGGCAAAGGGCGGCCCGCGGCGTCAGGGCGGCGACACATGAGGGATGGCGAAGACACCAGACAAGGGCGGCGAAAAGACATCCCAGAAGGAAGGCAAAAAATACACCACACCAAAAAGGTACACCACATAGAAGGGGGAGGAGAAAACACTGGGCGGGGCTAGGGAGACATAGCTAATGGGGAGGCCCGCACGGACCGCACGGGAAAGACCGGACAGCACAGGAACCGGACCCCGAGATGAGATAATAGAGAGATATAGATACGATAGAGATAGAGAGAGAGAGAGAGATGAGAGAGAGATGAGAGTAGAGATATGAGATAAGAATGAGAGAGAGAGTGAGAGAGATTAGAGAGTAGAGAGAGAGCAGAGAGAGAGACAGACAGAGAGAGAGAATCGCATAGAAAAGGCAAAAGTCCGAATGCAAAAGGGAAAGGCAAGTGGTGGCGGGGGGAGGCCACACGGAGGTGACGCGGAGAACCCAAATGCCAGGCGGAAAAAGGGGGGAATAAAAACGGGGACAAAGTGGACAAACGAACAACAAACGGAACAATCGAGGGCGGCGTAGAAGCAACGAAAGCACCCAGGCGAGACAGCCGCTTGGAGAAAGCAGCGCCAAGCCAACGGAAAGGGGGGAGAAGACGGAGCGAAGAACGCCGAAGGAAACACGCTAACACGGTAGTAGATACAGAAGGAGACGGGAGACGCAAAAGAGGTGGCAAGTGTAGGACGACAGACATTACGAGTATTTAGAGAGAGAGGAGAGAGAGAGAGATAGTAGAGAGATGAGGAGAGAAAGGATAGAGAGAGAGAGAGGAGAGAGAGAGACAAGAACTCACCGGAAGTGAGGGCCAAAGAGAGAGAAGCAACAAAGGGTCAAGGCGAAGGGGCGCGAGACCAAGCAAGAGAAGACGCAAGAACGCCAGGCAAGAAAGGCATAGGGGAATGCAACGCAAAGCGGGCACGAAGCGCAAAGAGAACAAAAGCAGAACACAGGAGCAGGCCCAGGAGCAACCAGCAAAAGGCGCACGGAGGGAGAGAGAGAGAGAGAGAGAGAGAGAGAGAGAGAGAGAGAGAGAGAGAGAGAGAGAGAGAGAGAGAGCAAAGGAGCGAGAGGTAAACAAGAGGCCAAAGGCGCATATCAAGGGAAGAGTCAAAGCAAGAGCCAACCGAACGCCCGAGGACGTGTACACCAAAAGGCAACCGGGGACAGCAGGCAACCTGAGCAGCCAAGGAAGCGAAGCGGCGAAACCAAGCAAGGAAGCAGAAAGGGCTTGCACCAAGCTAAGGAAGCAGAAGCCGCCTTACAGGCACGCAAGCATAGGGGCGAAGCCCAAAAGAAGAACAAGAGAATCAACGAAGGGAAAAAGAGAGAGACTCAGAACCACAGGGAGCACACAAGCAGTAGGGATAGCAAGGGACGAGGAGTCAAGAGAGAAGAAGGAGCAGAAAGAAGCAAAAGAGGGACAAGGGACGAAATAACGCAAAAGGCCCACCAAAAGACAGGCAACAAGGCCACGGGGAAGCAAGGAATGGCAGGCGGAAATGAACACGGAAGACCGGCGGGCAGAGGGCACTGGAAAAGGAAGGCCCGCACACGCGACCACACGAGGTATACGGTTCGGGGGCAACGGCGCAAAGAAGGGCGGGCACACCCGACAAGACACCGTCGAGGGGCGTCACGGCAGGCAGGGGCGCGAACGGCGCGCAAGGCCAAAGGGACAGGCAAAACAGACGAAGCAGACGACACAACAACAGGCGGTGCAGGCAAACTAAGCCGCGAAAAACAGCAAAAAGACGAGGCAACAACACGAGAAGGCCAACAGAAGCAGAGACAGCAAGAGAGACAGCAGAACGCAAGAGGTAACACCAATGAACACGCAAAAACAAGGCGAGAGCAAGATTAGAAAGCAAGAAGAGACCGAGCTGAAGGCAAAAGACAGCAAGACCAGGGAGAGAAAGTGGAAAGAGGGGGTGAGGGGAGAGGGAAGGGGACCGGGGATATGCGAGCATACAAGCGAAACACCCAGCAGCAACGAAAGGGAGCGCGGTCGGGGAACGCGAGGAATCCCCAAAAGCAAGGGAGGAAGAAGAAGAACAGGCAGGAAAGAGAGGAATGGTGAAGGAAAAGGGCAAGGGGAATAGGAGGGCGGAGGGGGGGGGAAAGGGCAGAAAAGAGGAAGCGGGGGAGAGGGGGTGAGAAGAGGAAGGAGAGGCGGGGACGTGAGGGAAAGGGCGGGAAAGAGGGGAGGGTGGAGGAGGAGGGAAGACTAAAGGAGGGGATGGAGTGGAGGGAAAAGGGCCGCGGAAAGAGGAGGAGGGCGAGGGGGAGGGGCGCGAGGACAGGAGCGGAAAGAGCGGAGGGGGGAGCGAAAGGGGAGACCGGGGGGGGGCAAAAAAAAAAAAAAAAAAAAAAACACAGGGGGAGAGGAGAAGAAGACAAGAAACAGAAAGGGAGAAGAAAGCCGGGCGGGAGCGCGGGGGGAGAAGAAGAGAGGCAAGGGGGGCGGGGGGGAATGAAGAAGGGGGAGGGGGTGGGGGGGGTCGGGGGGGGGCGGGGGGCGGGGGAGGATGCGGAAGGGGGGGTGGAAGGTGGGGAAGGGGGGGAGGGCGAAAAAAAAAGGCCAGAGGGAGGAAGGACATAAAAGAAGGAGGGAAAAGGGGGGACGGGAGGGGCGGAAACGGGGACAGGAGAGGGCGCCGGCGAAGGCAAGAGGGAGGCGCAGGCGGAAACGGCAAGGAAGGGAGAGAGAGCTGCAGCAGGGGGGAAGCGAGGAGGCAAGCGGGAGTAGAGGGAACGGGGGGCGAAGAGAAGAGAAGGCAGGGGGAACAGAAAGAAAGAGAGGCAAGAGGGGGAGGAGATAAGCTCCAGAAAGGGGGCAGCGCCAAACGAAAGCGACGCGAGAAGAAGGGGGCCACGGGGGAAAGGGGAGGCGGAAGGCGAAAGTGTGGTCGGGGAAGGAGGGGAGGTGGGCGGGACAAAGGAAAAGGGCGAAAGGCAGGGGAGCAAGCGAGGAAGGGGAAGAGCTAAGGGAGGAAAAGACGGGGAATAGGGGGAAAGAAGCCGACGGGGGGGAAGGGGGCGGGACCGGAGGGAGGAAATGGGGAGGAAATACAAAGAGGGGGGGAGGAGGACACGTGGGGAGAAGGAAACATGGGGGAGCAAAAATGGAGGAGGGGCGAAGACCGCAGACGAAAAGGTGAGGAGGAGGGCCGGGAGGGGCGAAGGAAGCTGCCCACTCAGGAGAGAAGGAGAGGCAGGGAGCGGGCAGGGGGGCAGAGCGAACGGAGTGAGAAAATCACGGGGGGTGGAAGAAAAAAAAGGGGGGCTAGTGGCGGAAAGATAGGGAACAGCGAAGGGCAAGAAAAGGGATGGACAAGGGCCAAGAGCCAGTGGCAGAGATGGGTACACCGCAGGGGAAGGAAAAGGGAGAGGTGGAAAGCCACGGGGGGGCGGAAGGGACGGGCGCAGGCGACACAGGGGGCACGCTGGGGATGAAGGGGGACGAGGGGGCCCGCGGGGAGGAAGGGGGCCACAGGGGGCCAAACGGAACAAAAAAGGGCCGGAGCAGGGGGGCGGAAAAGCAAGGGGCA